CCAGTTTGTGAATTGGTGAATGCAAATAACAAACTTGGTTTGTATACTAATTGAAGCAATATGTACATATAAGATCTGTATGCTTTTGAGCATGCTGATAACAAAGGAACTTGAGTTGCCCATAACTACTTTGATAAACAAGGAAGTGAATTTCATTCTTTCCTTGCCGGTACCACTAACACATCCGTCAATGATCAGATTCCTCTCACTTTTGGCTTTCTGGATTGATGATCGCTTTCACTTTCATATTACTCATCATACAAAACGTTTTCTTCCTATTTCAATAGATAAAACCATGGACATCATGCATGTTGTTGCTTGGTTTTCTAGTACTTCATAAGAAGTTTACATGTTAAAAAAAAAGGCAAAAATTCATGGCCAGTCCTCAACCTTACTGATTATGAAAGTGTCAGCCCCACAACTTATAATATAAAAGTTCTAGCCCTTTATCTTTTCGGTTTAAATAAAAAAAACTCAAAATATATAGCAGTGTCATGTGCTCGTTAAAATTTTGTTATCCATTACCATGTCAACCCCAACGCAGCAATTCATTGCCATCATGGACTACCACCATTGACAATAAGAACTAAACTTGACAAATAAGTCGAATTTAATAAATTCGAGTTAAGTCATATCAAATATTAGATTTATTGGATTTGATCATTTTGAATTTTGAGTTAAAGAAGTAGATTCATAACTCACTCACACAGATTTCGGATTAGATTAGGTAGAACTAATTTAAAAAAAAATTAAAATTAAAAAATTTTTTTTTAAATATTTTCTCTATTTTTTTTTTTTTTTACTTAGGCTAAAACCATAGTTAAGCCCCCAACTTACCCCATTTTAACTCATAAGCCCCAAAATAAGAAAATCGCCGGATAAACCCTTAAACTGCCTGAGTTGCGCAAATTAGCCCCTCGGCTCACGGTGTACACGGTAGGTTCCGTCAGGTGACGAGAACTCCGAAAGCACGTGTCTCGCAACAAAACGGCAGCGTTGAGCGCCAACAAAAGGGTACAAACGAAAGATCCCTGATGGTGAAATCGCCAGTTTCTCCAAGAACCCTCTAGGGTTTTGCAGTCAATCTCCCGCCAGAGGTACTCTCGCTCCTCCTCTTTACGGTGTTTTTAGGGTTTCCTTCCCATTCTGCTCGATATTCTTCTAATGCCATTGTTCGTACTCATTTCTCTTCGCTGAATTTCATTCTCTTCTGTTCCAGGTTGCTTTTTCTATGGGTTTTTAGTCTATTTTTTGAATTTAAAGCACTTTAAATCAGGTGTATGTCTGGAAGATTTTGTTAAGTTTCCTAGCTTGAAAAAATCAGAGGAGAATGGAGATTAAAATCAAAGAAATCGTTAGAAATCTGGAATTTTAAATATTAGATTCAGAACTTCTATACGGTAATCATTTTGATATAATTTCTGTAAATTTTGGGTTATGTTTGTGGTTTAGTCAATCTCTGCTGGTTGGAAGCTGGATTGACGATGATGATTTGCCAGTCATGAGTTTATTTTCTGCATGTTTATTCTGTAAAGTTATGTCCTTTCTGAATCAGACTTGATTTAGCTTCCTGAGCATTAGATCCTTCCATAAACTTTAGTGAATATGTATATTATGTGGTCTGTTGCTGGTCTTCATTGATGTTTAAGCAGTTGTATTTTCTCTTTAGGTTTAAACCTTCATTGGCATACTTAAGAGTTCAGAAGGTTAGATTTCATGGTGTCTATTGGATTCCTTTCTTTTCTGTTCAGAATGTGTCTTCCTTTAGTTTCAGTTAAATTGATAGCAACATTGAAATCTATCCTCATCTTAGGTTGTTTTGAGTTTCAGTCTGTTGTGTAGTTTTGGGTTGATTTAATGGTGAAACTAAAGTTGAATAGACATTCTCTTCAATCTCATTTCTGAATAATGAGAATTTTGATTGGTTTTGGTATCTATTTGGGGTTGACTGTTTGGATTTTGATTTGAATCTTTAATATGTTCTATAGGATTTCCGGTGTAAACCACAAGCTTATTTAGTTGTGCATTTATTTGCCATTCGGTTAGGGATTGGAGCTCTAGCTGCATTGTTTTTCTCTTCAAGTAGAACTTATTTCTTCTGCGCTTTATTTTTTTTAGTTGTTTTTTGTAATGAATCAAACTATGCATTCTCTTTTACATCTCATAGGCACCTCATTCATTTGAAATTCTGAATAGGAGTCTTTCTCCTTCTAGTCTAGGTTTAAGAGGAGGCTTTTTGTCACCTCAAGGGTGGAAAATAAAAAATAAAATAAAATAAAATAAAAAACAGAAGGCACAGACTTTAACAGAAACGAGTAGGTGTATGTATGACTTTTCGTCTGATTTGCATTGGTGAATTTTTTGTCAATACTATGCAATGTTTTTTATTTTTTGGTGTCTGTTATAGATCTTTCTTTTACATTATGCAGTGTTATGATTCTTATGAGGAAAGTAGAAAAGAACTTAGAGATAGTAAAGGGAGACTGGGAGAGGGACTTTAAGCTTGGTTGTTTGAATGATTTTTCTTACGAAGATCTGACAGTCTAATTTCTTTTTTTCCTGATGGATGTTTTAGCTCAGTGAAGCAGAACTACCTGCAAAACTGTCAAGCAGAGGTTGAGATGGAAGTTGTTCCAAGAGAGGTTGATAATGCTTTGTCTGGTCCAAGGCCAATGGAATGGTCTGTTGTTCCACATGCTCCTCAAGCACATGAAAGGAATGGAAACAAACGGACCTCTAGTCTGGAATCACCAATCATGTTGCTGACTGGTCATCAGAGTGCTGTATACACCATGAAGTTCAATCCTGCTGGAACTGTTATTGCATCTGG